ACCTGTCTGAATATCACCGACACACCAGTCCAGTGTAGCTTTCTGGGTCTGTCGTTCGGCTTCGCGCTTGTCTACGTCACCCTTCGAGGCCTGAGACCATGGAGTACAAGTTGGAGCCCACCAAGAGGTCTTGATGCCCAGTGTCCTCCTTACGGCCGTGAGGATGTTCTGATGATCGGCGTCCGCTAAGTTCCATCCGTATCGATAATCCACTGGAAAAGCCACCTGCAAGCCGAGTCGCATGCATCTGAGAGAAAGGCGACCACTTCCTGACATACGTTCTTGAAGATGCAACTTGAAGCCCTTCATGTGGTCGACCCAGAGCATGGCATTGTGCGGTGTAACGATAGGCAGTTGAGTCTGATGATAGAATTCCTCGGGCATTGCCTTGTATTTCTTTTCCAGAAGACTGACATCGTCACGGTCACAAGTAGAAGGCCACTGATCTGCTCCAGTCCACTTGTCTCCGCTGAATGTGTTCCACCGCTTGTAGAACATTTGTCGTATTTGCTGAGGTGTGCCCTTCGAACCAACTCCGACGGCATGACGAGGTCGACCTCCATGTAGATCTGCTTTGTCTGCTTGATATTCTCTCAGTCTCATTCTACTTTCTGAAGTGCTGCTGTTGAAGGTCGACTGAATGTCACTCGTCTGCGTGGCCGTCTCACTGCGTCCATCCTGGGTTCGAGCTGCGTCCTTCTGAGCCGTTTCAGAATGTCCAAGCAACTGTGGTGACGACAAGTGTGGCGACGACGACCCTACAGCGCTCGAGACGCACGCTGCAGGGGGTCCGGACCCGTGGTAGGTCCGAGCTGTGTCCTCACCAGGCATCGTCCCAGGATGACTCGAGTGCAGAGCGGTGTTGACACCAGTCTTGGTAGTCATGTTGGCATCGAAGATGAACTCCATGTAATCCTTGACCGCTTGTCGCAATATTGTCGCTTCTTCGCCGGCATTGGCAAGAGGGTCGTCGATAGGCAGAAGGTAGTGGCCTGAGTCCGTGTACAAGATACGCAAGAACGAGGTGGGTGCAACCTTTCTGCCCATAGCTCCGATATGATTGATAACCAGAACTCCATCTTTATTTGGCAGAACGTTCGCGTACATGGACCCGGCGTGCTCGATGATTGACTCGTTAGGAAGTAGGCATGGGCATTTCGAGCCTGAGCCTCCCAGAAGATCCATGGTAAACGAGCTCCTGGGTAACGCCTTCAAGTTGAGAGGAATCGTGCCGAGCCCGAGCGACGGACTGGGCTTGCCATCGATACCCGACAACTTCGAGTGCGAGTCCTTCAGCGTGATGTCTTGACCTTTTGGCCACAGCAAATGATCACATATTTCTCGGACTGTCTCGGTACCGCCCAGGCCTTTCGACGCGCCAGGGTCCACGATCAGACCGAGTCGTTGCTTTCCACGCACGCTGGTCATGAGTATCATCTCCTCGTCCTTTTCCCTTGATGCCGGGTAGCACGCGTTGTTGATCGCAAAGAGGCTGGCATGTGGCTTCCAAAGATCAGACAGAGAACCTTTGTTAACACCCGAGTGGATCCCATCATGGTCCGTGCCGTACTGCCCCGTGGTGTCCGTCTGTGATCTGACTGGCTTCTCTGGAAGCTGAAAGGCCGATGATCCTGGTGAGAGCTGTGATGAGCTGCTGATGCCGCTGACGCTGTCGGTGTTCATGTTCGTCGTCGTGCTCATTGGCTTCACCATGTCACTGAAACTTGTTTTCTGAATAGGAGGTCCGTCGTCAGCCTGATGCCATGTACCAGGAGGAGGAGATGTCGCTGAGGAAAGCACGCTCCATGATCCTGTCGAGGGACTGTCTTCCGAAATCGCATCAAAATTACTGGCCATCCACGGCGGCTGTTCGGCATTGGATTGAGGCCTCCAGGATCCTGTGGATGAGGAAGAGAAGGAGCTCTGACTGTCTCTGTTGCCGTTGTTGTCTCTCTTCCCCTTTCCGCGTCCTTTTCCTTTCCTCAGTCTCCTCTCGTACTCGTTGTCGTTGTATAGTCCGCCGTCCTCGTAGTCCTGCTTCGTCCTGGTGTCGAAGTCCCAGTTGGACTGCTTCGTGGTCTCAGTGGAATGTCCGACTGCGAGAGCAATATCAGGAAGGTCGTCATGATACTGGTCCTGATGATGTCCACCGAAGTTGTGATGCCAAGTATGTGTGAGACCTGCTCCTGTTTTGCCGCCGCTGTCTCCTTTGCGATCACGAAGTCCGACTGGGCAATCTTGATCGCGATGCCACTTAGAGCCACAGACGCTGCAGCCGTTGTTGTCCGTCTTGTTCTTTGTCTTGCCATTTCCTTTTTTACCACCATACAAAATGTCCGTTGAGAAGCGTTTATCATCATCACGTCCTTTGCCTTTTCGTCCTCGTCCTCGACCTTTACTGTAACCTCGACCTCGTCCTTTGCTGCGAAAACGTCCTTTGCCTTTTCCTTTTCGTCGTCCGTTCCATCGCCATTTTGGTCTGAAGCCACTCATCTGATATGCTTCCTCGAGGTCGAGCTCGTCGAGGTATTGTTCTATCTCATCTTGTTCGTACCACTTCCAGTAACTGTCATATGCACCATATCGCCATTCTCCATGTTCCGTCGCATATTCTCGATAATGAAGGTCCGTGTCTTCGTCGTATACGAAATCAATATATTCTTCTTGATCTTCATCTTGATAGTAGGAAAGATTGTAATCATCGTCGTTCAGCTCCATATCTTCAAACGCTCCATAGTGTCCTGAGTGATGTCCACTGCCTGATGCCATTTCTTGTTTTGCGATCCGACTGGTCATACTGTAGATTTCGTTGAGCTTCGTGAGGTCTCCGTTGTGATGTAGCTTGATATCTGCAATTCTTCTGGCCGGAAGGCCGCTCCACTTGAATAGAAGGTGTGTGAGGCCTGTCGAGTTCAGCTGCAGCCCAGCTTTGCTCTCGGCCTCCTGGAACCTCTGCTTGAAGTTGAGGAGGTAGTCTTGCAATGAGGAGGATCCGCGTCTTGTATCCCAGAACTTGTCTAGGATCTCACCCTGCCTGTCCTGGTCATGAATCTCGAACGCATCCGTGAGCTTTGCAATGAGGTGACCGATTCCCGCCGGACTGGCAGGTTGTAGTTCTGCTCCAGTGGGATCCAGCACTGCATCTTCCTTGCCGAGAGCAAGAGCCGCATCGCCACTGATGACCACGCCATTGCGAGTAACCTTTAAGCTCATGGCCACCTCGAACGCCTTGTCAAGAAGCCGACTTGCAACGAGTGGGCCGGCCTCTTCCTCAGTGATGGGTGTGATGCGCCACCAGAGATGAAGGCGCTCGAGGAAGTGTTTGAACGTGTAGTCTGGCATGCCCGGCTTCCAGCCGGGAGGAACATATCTGGTAAACTCAGGAAGAGAATTCGGGAGCTTCCAGTCTGCACCACCACCTGTCGCCATCGCCACGTAGTCCTGGGAGTAGGAGTAGAAGGAGGCACCACAGGCTTCGCTGAAGTGCACGAGGAAGAACGTAAAAAACAGGTAGATCGACCAGATCTTCTTGATGATCCGGCACGGGCCGAAGTTCAGCCCGTTGTCGTAGTTCTTCGTCGTGACGAAGGGTCGCGCCTGGCGGCGCGCGGCGGGCACACTATCGCGCGCCCGAGCCCTGTCTGTGATGGGGCAGGCTGGAGCTGGAGCCGAACTCCAGCTCCGCTACCAAACTGAGATGTTTAGTCTTGAACTGCGCAAGCCCTGAGCCCTGATGCGTACGGAACAGATACTACACTTGATCATTCACTGATCCTCTGAATTGCTAAGCTGATCTGCTACTGAAGCTGATATTCTCAGTCCTCTCCCCCCCCTCCCCTCGCCGCCTCCTCCCCTCCCACCTCCCCTCGCCCCCTCCTTTCTGCCCCCTCCTCCCTTCTCATCCCCGTCCCCCTCCTCTCGCTCTCCATTTCTGCACCCCCCCCTGGACACCCACTCCCCCCGAAGTGAGGTGCCGGAAAGGGGTACAGACATAGAGTGCGCGCAGCCAAGCGGCTGTGCAGTCAAGGGAGAATGGCGGGGAGGAAGTAACAAGCCAAACGCTGGGGGCGCCGCAGCGATGAGTAGAGGTGCGAATGCACTCGGGCTCCAGCGAATGGGGAGGAGCACCGCACGTGCGGAGGAGCACTCCGCCAAGAGACTCGGGCCGCGTATCCAGAATGTCACATTCTTGTTGCCCCAGGGCGGGCGAGCTTCTCGGGATTCGTGCTCCTCGCGCCCGCTGGCTTTATGAGGCCGAGGGATGGGATGCTCAAGCGGGATTTCGGCAGAACGGCGATTGACATCGCTGGCCGATTTTCTTTTCTGAACCAGCTGAACGTCTGACTGCGCCGGGGCCCCGAAGTCGCGAAGTTTCCAACATGTGCACGAGCGCCTCGAGCTCACGCGCGCATCCCATCTCTCGCCATCGCTCGGACGTCATTTTTTTGTTTTTTTTTCGGTTTCGTGCGTGATTTTTTCGCCAAATGGTCAAGGATGCTCCTCGATGGTCCTCGCCGAGGAAAAAACGCACACGTCCGAGCGATGCCAAGATCTGGACTCAGCTGGACGCCAGATACAGCCTGCGGAATCTGCGGAGAGAGGAGTGGCGGGGTGGGGGGATGGGGGAGGCTGGAGCAAAAGACTGCACCGTGCAAGACCCAGCGAGGAGACCGGAGCCCTGCGAGGCCGCGACATCTATCTGAGCTGTGGCGGCAGCAAGGTTCGGCTACATGCAAGCGTGACCCTAGGCACGAGTGACTTCTCATGCGCGGACTAGGGGGGCGCAACGTGGCCGAAACAAGTGCGCAAGCAGTCACTATCGCATCGCGCCAAACGATCGGGGGGGGGCGTGAGCCCGTACCAAGTGTCACTCCAGCGAAGGGTCACTCTTAGCCGTCGAAAAGAATGGGCATGGAGCGCGAATGTTAACCCGAGCAGCCTCGACCAACGATGCGGTGCCCTTCTCTCCTTTCCATCCTCCGAATGACAAGCGGGGCGTCCTTGACCAGGGATGCGGCGTCCTCTACGGCGTCTGACAAGGTCCCCTTCCAACCTTTCTCCTTCAGGCTCTTCATGGTGGCGCTAACGTCATCGGCGACGACGTCAATTGCGCCCGCAAGGGCGCTATCGATGGCAGTCAACATCCCCTGGTGGACTTGTCGGAATGAGCTCTGGCGAACAGAGACTGCAACAAGTAAGCACAGCTGGAGACCAAAGCCAATGACTGTCAACAAAGTCAGAATAAGCACAACCGGAGATCGAGCTCAGAAGCTTATTACGAGCTCCCATTTCCGATGATGGTTCGAGCAATGCTGCGAACAGAATGATCAAATCTGCAACGTATGCAATTTACGCCGACAACAACACTCGCGAATGGCACCCAACCAAGCGTTCAGAGATGAGGAACTCCCACGCCGACTAACACTACTACTCAGAAAAGAAATAGATGGAGCCAGGAAGCAAACCTCACCAACATTGAATCCTGGCCTCTGGGACCAGCGGTCCGGACACAAGTGTCCGCGTCGAGTCCCTCGCAACATCCGGCAGTTCAATCGCCCCTCTTCCTATCTCTCCTCCTCCCTCGTCCTCATCATCTCTCTTCTTCCTCCTCCTCCTCCTCCTCCTCCTCCTCCTCCTCCTCCTCCTCCTCCTCCTCCTCCTCCTCCTCCTCCTCCTCCTCCGCCCCCCACGGGAGAGGTCAAGGGGAAGTGCACGGGAGTGCGTTTGGATTGGCGGATGCAGCGAGGGTCTCATCGACCCTGTAACGAGGTGAAGCAGCAAATCACCACAATATGGACAAGAGAAGGAGTGGGACGAGGCGGCCGAGAAGGAAGAGGAGGAGGAGGAGGAGGAGAAGGAGGAGGCGGAGGAGGAAGAGAAAGCGGAGAAGGGAGACCAACAGCAACAGCAAGGCGAGAATCCGCCAGCCCCCTTGTCGGGCCACCATGCTGTAGGACGAAGGCTTGCTTTTTCCCTGCGCCAGTGCCAGTTTCCGGTTTCCACTGTTACAATTCTGCTTCTTGTTGTATTACTGTTCCTTGTTGTAGACCCCGCGAGGGGGGGAGCCGAAAAATGCCCTGGTCAGCGTCTCCTGGGAGGGTTCTCAGAATTTCTGTGGGAGCCGAAACTGTCACCCCTCACGCAGATCGGCGGGGTCAGGGTCCAAAACGCACATGGGATTCATAGCAAAATCATTGATTGTACAAAGGTTTTGGGCTCATTTTGTCCTTCTCAGGGGGCAGCCCTCATTTGCGCTTCTGATGAGGTCGCAAGAAGCCCCAAGATGGCCCCAAGAGGCCCCCAGGAGGCTCCCAAGAGGCCTCCAAGAGGCCCCCCAGAGGCCCCCAAGCGGCCCCAAGAGGCCCCCAAGAGGCCCCCAAGAGGCCCCCAAGAGGCCCCAAGAGGCCCCAAGAGGCCCCCAAGAGGCCCCCAAGAGGCCCCCAAGAGGCCCCCAAGAGGCCCCAAGAGGCTCCAAGAGGCCCCCAAGAGGCCCCACGAGGAGCCCGAACGACTCACACCAGGACGAGGGGCCCGAACGACTCACACCACGAAGAGCCCGAACGACTCACACCACAAGGAGGGGCCCGAACGACTCACACCAGGACGTGGCGCCCGAACGACTCACACCACGAGGAGCCCGAACGACTCACACCACGACGCGGGCCCCGAACGACTCACACCACGAGGAGCCCGAACGAGTCACACCAGGAGGAGGGGCCCGAACGACTCACACCAGGATGAGGGGCCCGAACAACTCACACCACGAGAAGCCCGAACGACTCACACCAGGACGAAGAGCCCGAACGACTCACACCACGAAGAGCCCGAACGACTCACACCAGGAAGAAGGGCCCGAACGACTCACACCAGGACGAGAAACCCCAAACGACTCAAATCACGAGGAGCGCTTTCTCTCCCTCCTCCTCCGCCTCGTCCTTCTCCCGCTCCCCCCACAAGGAGGATGTACAAGGAGGCGGGAGGAAGGAGGAACAGGGGAGATATGCGGGGCCAAGCGGACACACGCCTGAAAAACACGACTGTCGGCATGCTTCGCAAGAGTTGCTGCTGTGAGATGGGCTGGTGGGGATACGCGAAGCGTAAAGAATTTCTGTGGGAGCCGAAACTGTCACCCCTCACGCAGATCGGCGGGGTCAGGGTCCAAAACGCACATGGGATTCGCCAAATTTCTGAAATTCGGTGGCACCTCTCACGCAGATCGGCGGAGTCAGGGTCGAAAAACCTATGGAATTTGCGACATTTCTGAAATTCGGCGGCACCCCTCATGCAGATCGGCGGGGCCAGGGTCGAACATGATCGACCCACGAACCCGGAAAGGAATTTAGAAATGTAAGACATGGCAACTTTTCAAAGACACCTGATTGGGCGACGGGCACATGCAATGCTGCCGAATTCTGTGCTGTGCTGCGCCGTGCTGAACTGTGATGTGCCATGCCGCGATTGTGCTCTATAGCGTTGTGGATCGAGTCCTCCTTTGCATCCGAGTCCTGACCGAACTGATCTGGATCTTAAGCTCTAACTTCCTGAGCACATAGTAGCTGCCTCAGAGCTAACTCACAGGGGGGCATGCTAGGAAGACGCGCCGCGGAACGTTCCAAGGGACGCGCTAGGCGACGTGCCAAGGGACGTGCCATGGGGACGTGCCGTGGGGACGTGCCGCGAGACGTGCCAAGGGGACGCGCTTCGGAGCGTGCCAATGGACGTGCCACGGCACGTGCCAAGGGACGCGTCGCGCTGCGTGCCAGGGGGACTCGCCACAGGACGCGCCACGGAACGTGCCAAGGAAAGTGCCAAGTTGCAATGCTGAGTGAGTGTATCGATCTTGATGTACCGTGCCGAGGGCTGTGCTGTACTGCGCCGTGCTGAACTGCGATGTGCCATGCCGAGATTGTGCTCTATAGTGTTGTGGATCGAGTCCTGCTTTGCATCCGAGTCCTGACCGAACTGATCTGGATCTTAAGCTCGAGCTGCCTGAGCACATAGTCCACATAGTAGCTGTCCCAGAGCTAATTGACAAGGGAACATGCCGGGAAGACGCGCCGCGGAACGTCCAAAGGGACGTGCCAAGCGACGTGTCTGGGGACGTGCCGCAGGGACGCACCACGGAACGTGCCAAGGGACGCGCTACGGAACGTGCTGGGGACAAGCGTCGTGCTGGTGACCTGGACGCGTAAAAACACGTGGTGCCAGCTCGGGACAACCAAACTAGATACCCCCCCGGCGTGGCATGGACACGTAAAAACACGTGGTGCCAGCTGGGGACAACCATGTTAAATACCCCCTGGCTGGCCTGGACACGTAAAAACACGTGGTGCCAGCTCGGGGGACATGAACAAACACGTGGTGCCAGCTCGGGGCAACCATGTTGGATACCCCCCTGCGTGACCTGGATACGCTGAACTCGCGCTCCCGCTCGAGACATCTTCGCAATGTCTTCCCTGGAAAGGCCCCCAAAGCGCAATCCCTTGTTCAGAGCAAGCAAACATCACTTTTCTGTATTGGGATATGTGTTTGGGTGGCGCCTTTCGCCCCCCCGAGCGTTTCCTCATAATTCGGCGTTGGGCTCGACGCCATGTTGGATACCCCCCTGGGCGTCCTGGACACATCAAAACACGTGGTTCCAATTCGGGACAATCGTGTTAGATACCCGACTGGGTGGCCTGGACACGTAAAAACACATGGTGCCACCTCTGGGCAATCATGTTAGATACACCACTGAGTGGCCTGGACACGTTAAAACACGTGGTCCTTGCTCGGGGCAGTCATATTCGATACCCCCCTGGGTGGCCTGGACACAAGAAACCACGTGGTTCCAGCTCGGGGCAACCATGTTAGATACCCCCCTGCGTGGCATGGATGCGCTGAATTCGATTCACGCTCCCGCTCGAGACATCCTCGCATTGTCTTCCCTGGAGAGGCCCCCAAAGCGCCAGCCCCTGTCCAGAGCAAGAAAACATCACTGGGATATGCGTTCGGGTAGCGCTTTTCGGCCCTCCGTGCGTTTCCTCATAGTTCGGCGTTGGGCTCGACGCCATGTTGGGTACCCCCCTGGGCGGCCTGGACACATAAAAACACGTGGTTCCAGTTCGGGACAATCATGTCAGATACCTCCCTGGGTGGCCTGGACACAGGACCACTATGTTAGATAACCCCCCTGGGTGGCCTGGACACTTGAAAACACACGATTCCAGCGCAGGACCACCATGTTAGATGCCCCTCCTGGGTGGCCTGAACATGTAAAAACACGTGGCTCCAGCTTGGGACCATCATGTTAGATACACCCCTGGGTGGGCAGGACATGTGAAAACATGTGATTCCAGCTCGGGACCACCATGTCAGATACCCCCTGATGGCCTGCACATGTAAAAACTCACGGTTCCAGCCCACCCAGGGGGGATATCCAACCTGCGGTCGTCTGAGGCGCCAGCGACGGACAACCGTGTTGGATACCCCCCTGGCCGACCTGGGCACGTGAAAACAGGCATTTCGCCTGAGACATCCTCTGAATTCTGGCCCCCCACGAGGCCCCCGCTCGAGATATCCCCCAAATCTGCAAAACCAGCGATTCGCTCGAGACATCCTCAACAAATTCTGAAGAACAAGCGTTTCGCTCGAGACATCCTTAAATTTTAATCCGCAAGACCACCTCGACCTCGATAATTTACTAAGAAAAGAATCCGCCGGCCCACCTCAGTCATGCCACCGGGGACAATTTACAAAAATAGAAAAAAGAACCCTGGGCCCGCACCCATTCCGGGAAAAACCAATGGGATTTGCCACATTTCTGAAATTCGGCTTCACCCCTCACGCAGATCGCCGGAGTCAGGGTCGAAAAAACACTTGGATTTGTTACGTTTTTGAAATTCGGCGGCACCCCTTACGCAGATCGGCGGGGCCAGGATCGAAAAACACATAGGATTTGCCACATTTTTGAAATTCGGCGGCACCCCTGACGCAGATCGCCGGGGCCAGGGTCGAAAAGCGAATGGGATTTGCCACATTTTGAAATTCGGCTTCACCCCTCACGCAGATCGCCGGAGTCAGGGTCGAAAAACCAATCGGATTTGCTAGAATTCTAAAATTCAGCGGCACCCCTCACGCAGATCGGCGGAGTCAGGGTCGAAAAACC